GGGGTTATAGTTTAACAATATAGGCTGGTAACTTTCAGTGAAACAAACCAGATGACATTCCGTTAGACAATTAAGTGGTCCTATCAACAACCACTTGATCTTAGCAAACATTCCTTCTCCCTCCAGCAATTTTCCAGCAACTTAGATATCAGCAACTCATCTGTCTTTGAGCCAGCAACCTTGCTGTTCTTATCTTGCAACAGAGACTTTATAGCCTGAAGAAAATTTCCAGTCCTCCGCAAGGTCAATATTTGAAACTACAAAGCTTTGGAAAACCAGGCCCTGTAAGGTACATTTGCTTTATAGTATATTCCACAGGGTCGAGGGAGGGTTTTTCTGTAGAGATGGGTGATATCACAACCTGTTTGTACAATGATGGGAAAATTCCACAGAAAGGAAAGAGCTGTTTCTGGAGAAAGATGGTACCCTTGAGAGCCAAGAGGCTGTGAGGAGATTCAGCACACACAGGGGTGTGCTGCTGTCTGTGGGAACAGGGACAGGCCCATCACTCTGTTCTGATGCCAGGACATCTAGGGAACTGGATCAGGTAAAAGTAGAATATGAACGTCCTTTTCCAATGGTTTCAGCTCTCAGTGAAATAATACATGGGTGAGATAAGCAGATCGGAAGTGAGGGTTAGATATGAGGTGATCTGACTTTCTTTATCAAACATCTAAGCAGAGGTAGAAAAAGTACCACTGCATGCTCCCCAGGGTCAAAGAAATCCCCCTTTTCCCAAGTGTTGTCTGCTGCAGTTTCTGGATGGCACGTGCTGGGTTCACACTGAATCTGGGATTTTTTTTCTGATGGAGCGATTTGTTCACATGGCAGAAGAGATTGACTGCTGCAGGAGGGTGCACTGGGTGCTGCTGACATCTTACAGCAACCTGCTCAGCCCCACGCTTGGGGAGCTACTACTCAGCTCACGCCTGTAGCAGACTTTGCTTCATCCAAGTTTAAAATAGTTGTTAGGTTGAACCACGTGAAGTTGCTGATATTCTGTTTTTGACAAAAATGGAAACTCATATGGTCCAACCTCATACTTAGAATATAGATTTTTTATCTCAGGGAGATAGTAAAATAATTACCATTCCTTTAAGTTTGGTAGTTCAGAATAGTTTAATGGTTATAATCTATGAGAAATGGATACAATGTAAATACAAATGACACGAAACAGATACTTTCTGGCCAACAGCACACACGCCCACTTTTGTTTCCTGTCCAGTGGCCCCAGTATCTCTCAGAGCTGGACAGAACAGCACAGGAGAGCAGGCTTGTCCACCGTCCAACGAGCAATACTGATACATCCTAAGAATCTTGTCTTTTGAATTACATCTCGAACAACTAAAATAAAATTTAAGCCCCAATTAAAAGACATTTCTAAAAATAGTTTTACCATTTTCTCTAGCAGACCCATACCTGGCATACTAACACGGCAAGCAGATCATTTTTTAATTCCTTACCCCTCTGTGTGGTGAAATTATTTTCAGTAATAATCATAATATGAAATATGAAATAATGATAATAAGCACAAAATGTATCACAAGAGTACAAATGTTTTAATTCAGCTTTATATATATAAAATCATGCTAAAAAATAAAGAACAAAAAATAAATATTATAGTACAAACATCAAAAAAACACAATAGCTTTAACAGCTTGGGCTTTAATGCTTTGATGATATTCTCTATAACAATATTCTATTTAAATAATTACCTAGTAACCAATAAGTTATTTATTTATTTATTTATTTTTTTGTCCTTTTTGAGACCGGCCGCACCGTGCTCAGCCAGTGAGCACTGTGAGCGTACCGGTCATCCCTATATAGGATCCGAACCCGCGGCGGGAGCGCTGCTGCGCTCCCAGCACCACACTCTCCCAAGTGCGCCACGGGCTCGGCCCCCAATAAGTTATTTTTAATAAAACAAAAACATTGCTAAAGTCAAAATTTAGGCAATTAAATCATATCACTGTTTTAAGATTTGATATTCTTGGTTTTTAGTTTTAAAAGAAGCAATTAATAATTTTTAAATGATTAGTTTTAATTTTTTAATTAAAATACTTTTCATTTAGCAAAATATTCCATGTCTGAACTAAAATTTGCATTTGCTAAGCAAAAACAGTACCTCAAAACGTGCACAGGACTGGCCCCGGGGCGCACTCAGGAGAGTGCGGCGCTGGGAGCCCAGCAAGTCTCCCGCCCGCCGCGGGTTCGGATCCTATATAGGGATGGCCAGACCGCTCACTGGCTGAGCGCGGTGCGGGTGCCACCACACCAAGGGTTGGGATTCCCTTACCGGTCACGAAAAAAGACAAAAAAAAAAAAAAAAAAAAAAAAAAAAAAAAAAAAAATCGTGTACTGCTTCACTGTTTTAACTTTAAAACTCCAGTA